AAGAAAAGCTGCAAGGGCGGATGGCAGAAGAGTTGGCACGGTGCCATCCATTCAGTGGCAACGCCACAGTTCCGTGTGATAACAGCAGCGGGTATATGTTACGGGGGCCCTGTATGCGGGCCAGACAGTGCGGTAAAGCTAAGGGAGATTATCCAGACCCCCAGGAGCAAACAGCAAGCAGCAACCGAAGGCGCGAGTGCCAGGATTACAGACTAGGTTCTTCCAGCGCGAGCCCTGCCTTGGACACAGGCACTCGGCGACGGGGAACCGGGGCACTCCCCCGCCAGCCAGGCACAGCTCTGACTTCCAGCACTTTTTCCCCCCTTTAAACGTCATTCTGCCGCAGCGGAGCCAGCACAACGGATGCTTTCACACCCGGTGAGACAAAGGCCGTCGTCTCCGCCATGACACCGCTCCGCTCCAAGCCGAGGCCAGCATCCTGGAGTCTTTAAAAATAATGGGGAAGAGGCAACGCCAGCAACGATGCCAGCAAAAGGGAACACCACAACAAGCAGCCCCTTGTGCCCATCCTCCGTGCCAGGGGCAATCTGGGCATCTGTCGCAGCAGAAGGCGTTCGTGTGGGGCTTTTTTTTTTTTTTTTTTTTGCAAGCTGTTGGCGTGTTTGCCATTCAGGTTCGTTTATAATTAACTCCAAAAAGAGCCCACCCAGCCCAGTCAACAACAAACAAAAGGGAGTAGCCGATATCGATGGAGAAATGCCATAGGAAGCTGCAAGAATGCAGCCTACAGCTGATGCCATTTGCCATTCGGAGAACCTCAGGGAAAGATGCCAATTCTGCAGCTCGGGAGAGACACAGAGAAGGGAGCACAGAGGTCTCCAAACAGGGCTCCGAAGGAAGGAAGGAGGGAAGGAAGGAAGGAAGCAAGCAAGCAAGCAAGGAAGGAAGGAAGGAAGGAATGCTGCTCTTGCAGGGCAGGCTCATAAAGGCATACAGCCTCTGCTGGGAGGAGAGGGAATGTTTACAGACAAGTGGAGCGATGCCTAGCTGTGTATGCACACACGCACACAACTGCGTGTGCATGGACACACACACACACGCACACACAGCCGGAGACGCCTTCAAACATGTAGATGTGTATCCATGTGATGTGTGTGTGTGTGTGTGTGTGTGTGTGTACATCTGTGTGTACACGAGTGTCTATGTGTTTGTGTGCGCGCGCGCGCGCGTGTGTACACGCATACATATGTATACACAGAGATTCATATGCATGTGTGTACGAGAGAAAGAGAGAAAGAGAGGAGGGAGAGAGCGAGTGAGCTGCACGCTGTGTGTGCATGTGGGTATACTTCCCACTTTTTGACCCAGGTATACACAGAAGACAAAATAAAAATCATACTCCAGCAGCAAGCAGGCAGTCAGAGATTTATCTACATTCACTGCTATCACCAGGGAGATGAATGGGGCCGAGCTGGAGCCCTTTACAAGATCCACTATGGGAGTGAAGGAGGAGGAGGCATGCCACACAGACATGCACAAACTTGAAGACAGAGAGATTTGGAAGGTGCTACTTGTGCAGCCCAGGTGGCACACCGGAGGGTGCGCAGGGGAGAGCGCCACACACGCTCGGTGGGGTCTGCAGGGCGCCTGGGCTCCAGGGGACAGCTGGCTACTTACGTTGTCTGCGTTGCTGCGGATCCTGAAAGGTGTTCTGTTGGCACCGGGCGCTGAGCCAGGGACGGGCGCTGGAAACAAAAGGGAGAGACAAAAAATAAAGTCACGCAACGGGAATATTAATTGCCTCTCGTGCGGATTTTACAAAATACACAAACTGTTTTCTTTCCTTATTTTTTTTTCTTTTTTTTCTTTTTTTTACATGGATTGGCGCGCGTCCCCTCTGCACGGAAAATACTAGCGTGGGATTTACAGCCCAGCTACAGGGCTCGGGATTAACAGCGCTGGCATCTTTTGGGCATATTTTTCCTTTTAATGAATGAGCTTTCGCTGTTAATGAGGAATAATCGTTTGGCTAATGAGCTTTGAAACATTAAGAGAAAAGAGGTTTTTTTCCCCGTTAATCGCCCTGGTGCGACCGCATGGATGGATTACAAAAGACAGCAGTAGAAGCGCAGTACAAAGGGGGGACGTCTCCCAGAGTGGGATAAATGCAGAGATGGGTGATGCGTCCCTGCATCTCTCCGTCCTTCTCTCTCTCTCACTCACTCTGCCAACTGCTATGGGTTTCCATAACTCTGCAATCAAAGTGGATGTTTGGGAAAGATTATTACAGTCAAACAGCGGAGCGTCGGCTGTTAATGTCTCCAGTGTTTAATCATCATACAGTAGAATGGTTTTATGCATATTTCATTTGCATATCATTAAACCGCGTTAGCGTGGGACATTCAGAGCCAGGAGAGGTACAAAGTTGTGGGGGGGAAGAGTGAGAGCAAGCAAGTGAGCAAGCGAGCGAGCGAGAGAGAGGGGAAGGTCCCTGTGATGCCTATCTTCAAAAGCCAGGGACTCGTTCCATGATCTCTCCTCTACTTTTACTAAAATCATTATGACTTGGAAACCTTTGAAGTTGGATATAACCTTGGATTCTTCTAATTCCAGCAGTGATGTATTAAAAAGGGGGAAATGGTGCCGCGCTAGACATTTAAAGGAATATAAACACCAGTGGTATGGAAATAGGAGCTCTTTGAGGAACGCACTGGCAGAGTCAGCCACAGCTTCGACAAACACCACACTTTGGGTTCATATTAATAAAGGACATCACAGTAACACAACAGAAACGAAGACAACATACACATGAACACAGGGATTATATTTCTCTCGTTTTGTTTTGGTTTGCTTTTTTAGGTAAAGAGGAGGATGGAGCCAGCGGTAATTTATACCCGAACTAGCGAACAGTTGCCTCTTTTTGTATTTCTTCTTCTTTTTCTCTCTTGCGCTTGGGAGAGGGGTGTTGTCACTGCTGAAGTGATTAATCAATTATTTGGTAGCTAAGATCTTTCTCCACTGGCACTGGCCAGGGAAGGAAGGTGGTGGCTGGGGGGAGAGGAACACAGTGGGCTCTTTGTAGATCTTATACATGCACAACATATTAATTGGGGTCTTTATAAGGCTTCCTCAATAGACTATTTCATTCCTGGTAAAACAGCAGCTGGTTCGCCACTGTTGGCGACTCTTCAAACATCACTTTTGCTGGGGGTTGTTCTGCCGCTGTTTGTTGTGTTGTTTTATTTTCCCTCTGGACAGCAGGAGCTGCGGCCGTGATGCTACCTCGCTACCCGGAGGCTCTGAACCGCGCGGGCACATTTGGATCTCGGACATTTCCTCGTACTGCGTGCACAACTCCATTGGAAAATGAAACGCTGGTTTATCATTTCACTGCTCCCCGGCGCCCCTCCCCTGCATCTCTTCTCCAAAGCTTTGTCTTGGCTATGAATATTCAGATGAGCCATGATGTGATTACACTGTACAATTACTTGTGTCCATGGTGGTGGCGAAGGAGCTGAGGAAAGGCAGAGCCAGGCTGGCTTGGAGCTTGGTCAGGGTTTGTTTTCTGTATTTTTCCTATCTCCGTGGCGCTGCGGCACATGCAGATGTCGCTGTTGTTCTTTATAAAGCCCTAATGATATGCGAAAGCATAACGACCCCATTTGGGTGCAAAGCATCTACGAAATATTAAGGGGGGGGGGGAGAAAATCCTGACTGAAGGAATGTCCACATAAATTATTTTTATTTAAATGAGCTGGAAGGAGGAGGTGGCAAGTCGGAAGAAGTCACATGGAATACATGCATAGTATTAATATGCAGAAAGGTTATCACCAAGGAGAAGAGGCGCCGCGGCGCAGGGCTCGAGACGCACGGGCTCATTAGGGAGCGGCACGGCCCGCTGCACCATGGGCTTATCTACCCGCGCTCCCGTTGGAGCCGCAGCCCCACACGCATGTGATGCCAGGGGCCTCTTCAGCCATGGCAAGCTGGCTGCCCAGAGAATTCCCAGTTCCATTCAGAAATGTCTCCAAGGGCATGTGCCAGGCGGGAGGGAGGGCGGGAGGGAGGGGAGACGAGCAAACCCGGGGCGAGGCGGGTTCGTGTCGCAGTTGTGCAGCACAGACGGGTCCCAACGAAACAGCCCGGAGGGTGGAGCGAGAACGACGCCGTGCACACCTGGCACAGCGAGCACCCCAGGCTGGCGAGGGCCAGGCTCAGACATGCGTCCAGGGGCAGGGGCAGGGGCACAGAGCAGCAGCAGAGCGGGGGTCCCTGCCCGGCTGGCTTTGTTCCATGGCTGCTGGAAGGCCAGACGCAGGCTCCGGCATGGCGCTGGCATGGCTCAGCAGTCTGCGGAAGGGGGGGCCGCCTTTGCCGTCACGAACAGCTGATGCTTCGACAGGGTGGACGGAGCCCTCCCTCTGTGCAGCAAATAGGCCAGATCCTCCCGTCAGCTCAGCCCCGGCTTTGGGAGTTTCTTCCCAGCTAGTTTCAGCTCTCAGTGGAAAATCAGCATGTGCAGGCAGCATGAGGCTGATTAGAGGTTCTTCTAGGAGGACTGTTCCTCAGAGCAGCTGGGGAACAAGGGGCTGAACAGCAACGCCAGAGGTACAAGGAACCAGCATCAAACCGCTGCAGGCCGTGGGGCTCCACATCCCCACCACGGATCCGTGTCTGGGGGTGTGTACCCACAACCAGAGCACGAGCAGCTCCCACGGCGGCAACAGCATGGGCTGAGCTGGAGCGGCAGCCGGAGCTGCTCTCCAGAGAGAGGCCTTTGTTCTTCTCCCTGCCGGCGAAAGCAGGCGGTGCTCAGAGAACAGAGCCAGCCAGGTGGGCTCTGCCACGAAGAGAAATCCACCGTCACCCTATGCCGCGGGGAGAGACCCGCTCAGCTGCTCCGGAAATGCAATGGGCCGGGTAAACCAGCTCGGTTCCCCCAGCTGCACGGGCCGCCCTCCTTCACATGGCCATGTGTTTGAGGCTGCTGTAGCCAGGGTTAAGCTGGCCCTGCCCAAGCAGGGAGCAGTGCAGAAGTGAGCACAGGAGAGGCTGGGGGACAGGGGAGCGCTGTCCTCTGGCTCTGATCGGAGGCTGGCAGCCGTGAGGAGCCCGTGCACCCTGTGGAGAGGATGATGGCCCTGGGTCAGCGCTCCCCTGCTAGGCGGCAGTGAGCACCGCCAGGACGAGACAATAGCGTCGGCAGAGGGGTACGAGAGTTAGCTTGGCACTGGGGCTGAATGAAGCTGTTGCAACAGTCGTCCCAGAACCACTAAGAGACTGCCAGGATGGAGAGCCGGAGGCTGGCCTCCCGGATGGAGCAGATCACCAGTTCTCTGAGGAGCACTCCCTGAGGCCTGGACCGCCGGGCCAAAGTCATGGCCCTCCATCCTTAGCATCGGCAAACCTAGTCTCACAGGAGCACAGTCCAGGAGAGAGCTGCCATTCTGCCTTGCCGCGAGACAGGCCATATGCTTTCACCCGAATACCCTCTACAGGCCCAAGGACTGACCTAGGCCAAACATTTTAGCCTCCACAGAACTAAAGCCCAGACAGAGAACAAGAGTCCCAGGAGGCACCAACCAGGTCCCCTGCAACAGCAGAGGCTGGCTGGACGGGAGATGCCCAGATGATGCTAACCAGCAGTCTTGAGCCCAGGTTACAGAGCAAAATGATGCCAGCCCAGCTGATTTGGGGGGAAAACTTCCTCCTGACACCACACACCAGCCGGAGCTGAAAAAAGGAGCCGCTGTACGCCGCAGTGCACTGGCACCTACGCTCAGCACACCGACACCCGGGCTGGCGCCTGTGCTCGGCACACATCACAAGCCGCGCGGGGAAAGCCCCGCAGCGACCGGGACGTGACTGAACGTTCACGAAGCTACTACACGAGCACTGGTGAGAAGTGGCTCGGTGCTGCCAGGCTGCGTACCTCCATGACCCTGTGCCTGGGCCAGGGTGCGAGGGTCACGGATGTCCTGGGAAAGGGGGAGAGGTGCCCACCTTTTTCCTCACTAGGCGTGGGCGCTTTGAGGCAGGACTAGCTCCTCTCACCATCAGGGGAAGAGGCCGGTGTAACGAGGCCTCAGTCCCCATACCAGTCTCTTTGGCACCACAGCCCCCAGCTGTTTTGGGTGGGTCAAGGGGTAGAGAGAGCAGAGGTCTGAAAGCAACCGTGCCTCGTGTGTGGGAACTAGGCCTCCCATCTGACTGTGTGGTACAAGAGGGGAGGGGTGTGGGAGGAGGAGCCCCCCTGCCTGGGCCTGGGCTCAGGTGCGAACTGCTGCCACTGCACCCCTTCCCCAGAGGAAGGGCTCTTCCTAACAGTGTGTGCAGACAGGCGCATGCTATGCCCGGGGCTGGGCCGGGTCCCAAAGCTGCAGGCGCTGTGCTCGGGAAAGCCTAGCTGCGAGCACTAAACTCCCAGGGCTGCACCCTGAAAACAGCCCGGCCGGCTCCGAGACTGGCTGGAGCACCGCGCAGCAGCTGCAGTTTCCCCAAACGTGACAGCGAACCCCAGACCCAGATCCCTACACCCGCTCCGCTGTGCTCCCAGGAGCCTGCGCCACCTGCCACGGCTTCTCTACGCTCTCGGCTGGACGGCAGGGAGCGCAGGGTGGCCGGCAGCTTGCCAGATGGATCGGGGAGGGAGACATCAGACCCAGGTTGACTGGGCCCCGGCTGTGGAGGTGGCAGCCCCTTCCCACACGTGGCCGAAGGTGGCTCGTCATGCGGGATGGGGAGG